TTAAGAAAAATGAAACATCAAATCCACTTTCTCCACCCGCTGAGGAATCAAGAAAGAATCAATCTTCCGGACCATTCTCTCTATATTTTGTATACTCTCTATCTTTTTGCCTGTATTTAGTCAAATCATCATCGTTTCTATCACGTGTACCATTTCTCTTTTCTTTCTCAATAAGTTCCCTTGGTTGTATATTTTTAGATGAACCTTGTTTGTCATGTTCATAAGTTTTAGCACGATTAAGTTTATTTGTTGATGAATTCTGTGATAAAATTCCAGTCGGAGATGTTGATCCTTTGGAAGTTGTTTTAGAAGAAGAAGGTAATGTTCTTAATGTTTTGGATCTATTGAGAACGTAAGGAGCGTAAGAAGATCCATCACTTCCGCTGTCATCGTCATTATCACTATCATCGGATGAATTTGCTTTTGTGTTATCACTATCACTCTCACTACTAGCTCCAAACATATTCTTTGTTGAAGATTTATGACGAAGAGATTTTGAATTATTGACATTAGAACCTAAATTTCACACATTTTAAAGATTTAGCAAGTTTTTTTTTTTTTTAGATAAAATTGATATCTATGAATTATGGATTTGACTTACCATTTAAAGAAGTCTCAATATGTGGAAAAGTTTGTACAGCTTGGCGTAATTTTCCGTTATTTGTAAGTGTAACTGATTTATTATTTAGTGGTGGTGATCGACTAAGAAGTGCTTGAGAATGTTTATTTTTCAAGTTTGAACTAAACTTTGAGTGTTCTTGCATATATTCATTAGATGAAGAATATGTATCATTTCTTAAATTTTTGATCATTATACCCGATTTTTTACGTTTTAAAGTATCAAGCTTTTCATCACGTGCAAGCTCCTATAACGATGCATTACCGAAATGAAAATTACTTTATCGATTACTTTATCTCTATAATTTAAATAAGAAATAAATATTGTACTATATCAAGTATATGATGCCCTTACCGCTGCGTTCAATTCTTCAACTTGTCGTAACTGTCCAAACCTTCTGTCTAGTTGGCTAGTCATATCTTGTAAGTTAAAAACATATATTAAAAGTAATATTTCAAATACACTATATATTAATAAAATAAATATAAAGTGATCGAAAAAAAAAAAAAAATTATATATATATAAAACTTTGTATTAAATGATCGATAAAAAAAAAAAAAAAAAAAAACAGAGTAAGGAAGTTACGAAAATGAACCGTGCTTGTTGACGATTCCTTCATTTATTTTTGTTTGTTTTCATGCATCCGTACAAAAAAAAAATAAAATAAAATAAAATAAAAGATAAATGAACTACAGATATATTGCGGAACTTATATTCCCGATTTTTTTATATTATTCAGGCTAAAAGCACAACAAAAAGTCGTAACACCAGTAAGTCTAGTTACCTTCGAATGTTCCAGATTTGTAATTCTGTAACCATTGTTCTCCGTTTACACTTCATTTCGTAGGTCAACTCTGAGACGCATATGCGTTAACGTTGGTCTAAAATTTGCCAATCAAAATAAATAACCTTCCATTTTTAATATTTTGTGAGCGAAATATAGATTCATAAAAAAAAAAATTTAGATAAATTGGATACTTTTATTGAAACCCTTGATCGGGTTATAATTTCATCTATTCTTAAGAATTCCAGTATGAAATTTAGAAGAAACAATATTTTAAAATTTAATCCCTGGAAACCAACCCTTTGTTTCAAAATAATAAATCTTAATTATTTTATTCAAAATTTTACCCTGTTTTTGAAGTTCTTTTGTTACAAAATAGGAATGTTAATTATTCAAGTTTTTCTCAAAGGGGATATTTTTATTATTATTTCACTTGAAAAAGTATATTGATAAACAACTCGATTCAGATCTCACACTAAATTTGTTTGTTTAGAAATTTAAAAAACAAAAATCAGCGGTTAGTTCAATTACACAAACAATAATATTTAATAATGAATTTTTATTTTTCATCTTCGACCTTTGACGATATTAATAGTGATGATTATTCTAAATACTTTTTAACTAATAAATAGGTATAATGAATATGAGTAAGTATTCGATGCTTATGAGTACGTAACTTTTTTTAAGTTACTAATAAAAAATGTTGCCCTATATGCGCATAAAACGCCACATAAAAAATTCATACGTATATTTATTAAAACCCAATAGGACTTTTCGGCTTTTGTTATTACCTATTACATGATACGTACGTACGTACAGTATATTAACAGTTAATATAATAGATAATAATAATTTATGGGGCACGCACAGTACGTATAAATGTAAGAGAAACAATTTGTATAACATTTCATTGAATTAATTTGCTTATAAAGGCTTTCATTTATGTATTTTTATAATGAATTCGCATTGCATTATTAATCTAGTTTTTCCTACGTTGCATATAATATTACAAATTAGATTGATCCTAAATCAGATGTTGTTTGGCACTTGCATTTATCTATTATCTGTTATGTATAACGTACGACATATGTGTTAATATGTGTAAGTATGGCGTTGTGTTTTTGGAGGCAGATATTTCTTTTGCGTGGCAGTAAACAAGATAGTTTTTTAACATTAAAATTGAAAACAAAAGAATTGTGCATACATAGACGTGTAAACAAAAGGTAATAATTTTGCTAGAAAAAAACAATTTGATTTCTATTTTTCAAACTGGGATAACTTATATAGGAACTAGAAATGCATTATGCGACACTTGATTGACAAAATATTTGATAATTAACAAGTTCTTACTTTTCTATGTTAACTGTAATTCAGAAGTAAATAATATTTGTATTAAAAAAAAAAGTTAGTTTATCATCTCAAACAAATTCATCTGGAATTTTGAAAAATAATATACAAGTTTTAGAAATAATTCAATATTAAACACAGTAATATAACGAATAAGGTATATAATATGATTACAATATTTAAAATATATTCTATTAACTTTATTAAGAGACTTTTTTTTTTTTATATTTTTGTTAAGTTTTTAAACTGTTAAAATTTAAAATTTTATATTTAAAAAAAAATTTTTTATATGCTTTAAAGTTAAAATAAAAGTTTTTTTTTGTTTCTAATACGGTACATTAAATTTTTACAATTGAATTATAAAATCTGTAATAATAAAATTGTTTTTTTGATAAATTTTATTTAATTATTTTTATAATTAATAAATAATAAGTTTATTGAAATAAATATACGACTTAGTGATTGGACCCATCTCTCAGGTTCTACCTGAAATAGAAATTGTACTCAATATGAAGTTTGAGCTTCAGGTTACCTAATAATTTACAAAATCATTACTGGGTTACAAACCGGGTTATTTCAAATAACATAAGTAACCTAGATGACTCAGTTCTACGTATTAACCCGCCTAATATCACTACAAGTTTATAATAAATCATAAATAATCTTATGTTAATTGAAGAGCAGTAGGTAATGTAGTACGTACAACACTATTCCCTCCTTGAAAAATTTTGTCCGCAAAATAAAAATAAATCTAAAAATAAAATTGAAAATAAATAAATATAACGATAAAGTGTAATAAAATAAGAGATGATAATAAAACTAATATAGATAATAAAATAAAATAATATAATAACTTATAAAAAAAAAATCATCCACAGAACTCAACTGACAACTGAGGGCCAAACAGATCCTCGGGCCCAGAGGTGTTTCCAGCACTCCCCAGCCTCAGAGTGCAATAACCCAGTCAGTCAATCCAGGAATGATTACGTATCAATTTCCAAAATTGACTCCTTAAAACTATCAATAAACAAATTGACCAATAAAATTTGAAATCCACTTTTCGACATACCATTTTACTGATGTCATAATGTCAATTAGAAAATGGAATATCGAAAAAATGATCATCCTCTAAATAGACATATCGGGAAAATACATCGGGACATATTTTTTCGACAAACTATTTTCTCGAAATAATATTACTGAAAATTTATTTGTGTTAAAGACATTTTCCCGAATTCACAATACCGTGAATTAGGGAAAACGTTTTTCTTTCGTGATCAAAAAGATTTTAAATACCCAATATTTGCGTTACTTCGGGACATGTAGTTTAAAGAGAACTAATAATTAATTTAACCAAATGCAACCCAAATTTTTTGTTATTAAAAATCTTTGGTTAAATTATTAATAAGTATTTATACATTATTTTATTTTTTTCCTCTATACTCACATATTGGATAATGGTTTGTGAATATTATTTAATTAAATGAATTAAATAATGCGAATTTTGGTCTTAGTAAATTAGCATTTATGATCATAATTTGTTGATTTTAATTCCGCTGATAAAAATTATCTGTATAAACTTACTGGATAAAGATTATAGGTAATGGTATTTATAATCATAACTGATAAATTGCTGACTTTAATTCCACTGATTAATAACTCACCAACTAAATTAATGCGAATAAAATGACATGAAGGTTATTAGGTAAATATTTATGTTCACGTTCATGATTTGTTAATTTTAATTCCGCCGATTAAAAATATATTTTACTCACGAGTAAAATTAATGTGATTTAGCGTTAGTATTTATTTAGGTGAATGGTAAATAAATATTTATGTTCATGAATTTAATTCTACCGATTATAATACCCGTTGAATTTAAATGATTTGAATGGTATTAGGCAAGTATTTATGAAGATATGATTTGCTGATTCTAATTTCATTAATGTTTGATCCTGCTTCATTGAAAGTCCAAGTTTGGAACCAGTTTGAAACTAATATAGTTGTTTTAGAGCACATTAGTGCTAACATAGAACAAAACCCAAAGTCTCAGATTAAAAAAAATTAAAAACTGTTTGGGACTTGAGTCTTTTTTTGGATTAGAATTTTGGGCCAGACTGTTCATATATAAACAATTTTAGAACCCTGGTCCGAAAAGACTATAAATGAACAATGGCATGATTTAGTAATGAGGTATAAAATTTATGAATGAATTACGACATTATACCATTCTACCATATGATAAAATTAATTATCACGACTGATGCTGAAACTTGGGTTTCCGATTTAAATGAGTGCGTGAAAGTGAAAACCTGAAAGTTAATATTTAGTCCCTAAAAAATTAATCACCATATATTGCAATGGACTAAATATTAAGCACTCATATACTCTTTTGTTAATAACTCTAGCCCTAAATCATAACCTAACTCTAAAAAAAAAAAAAAAAAAAGACTAAAAAAAAGACCTAAAAAAAATTAAAATTTCATGATAAATAGATTAAAACTTCAGCATCAACCGTGACAATTGATGTTAATGTAAATTTTAATTTTGCAAAAAAAAAAATTTTAATAAAAAAATTACTATTTATACTTTCTACTTTTACTATTTATATCTCTCTTCTATATTTTCAATTTTTTTAAAGATATTCTATAGCATGAGTAGGCAATATAAGAAATAAGCTTCGCTAATGATTAGTAATCATTAAATTTTTAATATATTCAGCGGAGTTTGACCACATATTCTATAGAACATACAATTTTTTGGCTATTAAAAAAACTAATTTAAACAATTACTACATTTTATAATTTCAAATTTTCAACAAAAACTTTTATTAAGAAGAGTATTTTCACATATCTATATCTTCTTCTCATGTAAAAAATATTATTTTAGCTACTTGTTATATGACACTCAGTGTTTCTTAATGAACCAGCTCAAATAGGCTTCTCTTAAGGTTTGTAGTAAGCCTAAGTAAACCTGTTCAATTTATAAGCCAACTAAGCAACTTTTAAATAAATTATATACTGTTCTAATGTATTTTTATTTGTTAAACAAGTTTACTTAAAGTATCAAATCATGTTTTATTAGTAAAATTTCAAGTTATTTTTGATTTTCTAAAAATTTCTAATAAATTTTTAGAAAATCAAGAATAAAACTCAAAATTTTACTAATAAAACATGACTTGAGTGCTCTAAGTAAACTTGTTCTACAAATAAAAATATATTAGAACAGTATATAATTTATATTAAAAGTTGCTTAGTTGGCTTATAAATTTAACAGGCTCACTTAGGCTTGCTACAAGCCTTAGGGGGTATGACAAATAAGTCTATTTGAGCTGGCTCATTCAGGAACACTGATGACACCTGATACGTGAACTTGACATTTTGTTTGTAATAATAGGAAAGTCAAATTTTAATAGAACATTATGTGTTAAATGTCATCGATATCGTTGTACTTTATAGGAGAGGGTACCATATTATCGCGAAATAATGCCCCGAGGGCGTTATTTTGAGACAAAAAAACATCTATGTGTACTATAATTTTTTATTATTTTATTGATTAGAGTATGGTGATAAAAAAAATTATAGTATTGTACACATCGACGTTTTTTTGTCTCAAAATAACACCCCCGGGGCGTTATTTCGCGATAATACAATATGAATAGCAAAAGTTAGAGGTACAATAGCAATGCCCATTCTGGTACAGTCAACTCTGGATATAACGAACCTTTTTACAATGAACTTTGGATTAATGAACCCAAAATTTTGAAATTTTAATAGTAGTTCAGTATAAAAAGAGCTACGGCTCTTAAGAAAACATAATAATTTGTTATAACGAACTTTTTTTTTTTGGCCAGACTCAAGAGTTCGGTATAAAAAGAGTTGGCTGTACCTAAATTAATAAAGTTTTTACACATGAGAGGTATGAAATAGCAAAAGCAGGAGTACAAGTAGTATTGCCCTAAATAAGTTGTGTATATATGTTTATTACAGATATGATTCTGATCAAAAATTTGTCTTAAAAGTATTTTGCACTCCGAACTAGGGTGACTGGCATAGTAGCATGTCAATGACATACCCCAAGTCAGTTTGACATGCCAATTAACTCTATTAAAAAAAATTGCTTCTAAATTTTGGAAATATCTTTCTAAAGTGGCAAAATCTAAATAACGCTATGTCAGAATGGCATCCCGCCACAGATTTAGACAGACATACTCCGAACTGAGGTTGACTCACACGGAATTTCTTACCTATTGTCTGGACTTAAGTTCCTTCACTCTGCTCCGGAATTATTTACATATAAAATTTTTTACAAGTGCTTATCCGTTAAGGTTGAATATTTTATCGAGTAATTTTATATATAAAGATATATAGGGCTATACTCTATAACCACCTCCCCTCACCAAAAAATCAGATGATAATTGTCTCTACTCTTATCTATTATCCGTTAATTTCAGAAAAGCTATCCGGATCCAAGCACTATCAAAACTTCAATTACATATTTTTATATAAAAATATGTTTATTCATTATGAAATATCTTATTGGATACCTGGTATATTAAAAATGAAACTTTTGCTACTGGGGTTGTTTTTAGAACTGGACATTTCACGTGACCATGTTAAAATCGATATCGATATCAATATACAAATACTAACTCGCTATGTTGTCGACCTACATGTGATGGCCGCGAATACGATATTAATCAATTTTGCCAACAAACTTTTCACAGACAGCAATTTTGGGCCTGATTTAGGGTTAGGGTTAGCCAGATTTATAGCTAATGTTGGCTACAAATTTATTGTCGATGAAATAGCTGTCGGCGAATTGTACAAAACCTCTTAGGGCATACCGGTATGATTGTTCTACATTCAGCAATGATACAATTTAAATAAAAACAAATATTTCTTACTTTCAGCATAGTATTTCGTTTTTATATAACGATAATAAAAATGTTAGATGAAAAAATCACTAGTCAATTGAGTTTTACTGATTATGAAAAATTAGCAGAGAATGGAGATTCTAAGGGAATGTTCATGCTTGGTTATTGTTATGATCATGTAATCGATATTGAAAATGATGAGAATAAGGCATTCACATTACTATCAAAAATCTGCTGAATTGAATAGTTCTTATGGGATGTATCAAGTTGGTCAATGTTATCTTCACGGAATTGGGGTTGAAAAGAATAAACTCCAGGCATTTACTTGGTATGAAAAGTCAGCAAATGAGGGAAATTCTAACAGAGTGTATCAAGTTGGTAATGGTTATCTTAGTGGAATTGAGTGAGAAAAAGAAGATCAGGTATTTGCCTGGTATGAAAAATCTGCAAATGCGAGAAATTCTAACGGAATGTATCAAGTTGGCGTTTGTTATTATTTAGGAATTGAAGTTGAAACTGATAAGCAAAAAGCATTTGAACACTATAAAAGTTCTGCTAAGGCAGGTAATTCAAAAGGATTCTCTAAAACAATTATTTTATCTGATGAAATGGAACGTGCACCAAGTTGACAATTGTTATTTTGTATAAAAAATCAGCAGATATGAATAATTCTGATGAAATATTTATGCTTATATCAGGAAAATAAATCTGCAAAAATCTGCAAAAACCTAAAAAAATGCAGATTTTTACAAAATTTTTAGTAAAAATCTGTGAAATTTTTTAAAATTTGAAGTTTTGTACAGAATTACATTTAATTTCTATAAAATTCTGCACAGACTTTCATTTGATTTATTATTTATTTTTTTGCAAATCTGCACAGAACTACACTAAAAAAAATTTTCTGATGTATAAGGCATTCAAATATTATTAATAATCTGCAGATATGAATAAATAATTCTAAAGCATAAATTCAAATTAACTGTGAAGTTCAAACTCGAGTTTATGAACTAAGTTCATTTAATCATAGAAAATTTTATCTGCATAATTCATAATATGAGTAAAGGGCAATATACCAAGATAATTAATTATTCACGATTTTATTTGAACAAGTATATAATATAAAGTAAAAAAATACGATTGATTATACGATAAAAATTATTTATTTTTCAAATTTATCTAATCAGATTCTTTTACTATAATAATTAATTGGTAATTAACCACATGTTAGTCTATAATATTTACAACCAAGAATCAAGATTTTCAAATTTCATTATTAAATAATTTATTATATCACCATTCTCGCACAAACTTTGCATTTCAGCCTTCTTTGCCATATATAACATTCGACAGATTTTGTCCCTATAATCGATATTATTTAAATTGATTGACAAATATTTTTTTTTCATGGTAGAAAATAATACTTGAGTACCTCCATTCATATTGAAAATATTCACGTTGAAGTAATTGATAAGCTTTTTTCTATCCGCAGAAGTAAGTGGAAGTAAGGTGTTTTTAGAAATGTTATATCTTGAAATTTTATAAAAAGCGCGTGAGTATGCAAATATAATTGTTACCAAAAGTAGATAATTACATCCTTACTTTTGCCAGTCAGCACAATGTAATCCAAGCCATTTTATAATAGGCGTTGCCAAATTTTCATTATCAAAAGACATTGCCTGAATTTGAATAATTATTTTTAACTGTTAACGCCAAGTACATTTAACATGTGTGGTCCAAGAAATACTTATTTGCGCAAGTGGTACAAACTCAGAACAGGCAAGCATCACTCGCACGAATAACCATATTTAACGTCGATCCGAATTTGTAAACGCTGAGAATCTCGATCCCTTATTTCAAAAACAAAGATATCAATTAAAATCAGTTAAGGTCAAAACAAACTATAATTCAGTAAAATCATTCACCATATGGATCATTATCGAAAAAGCCAAGGATTGGATAGAGGTTGGATCCTTTGAATATCCATCATGACTACTCAGCAAATATTCACGGGTTTTGATGTTCATGAATAGCAT